CTGTTTTGTGAAACTTTTGGATTTCCCAGTCCCCAGAATTGTGACTCAGTTCACCTCTATTTCTTTATAAATCACCTGGCCTTGGGTTGTTGTGTTAGCAATGCAGAAATAGACTAAGATGGTACATTATATGCAGTAGGCACTCAACAAATATTTGTTGACTTTGAGCTTAATAGACAAGAGACTAGGCCTTCAGAGTCGAGGATGGAAAGGTATACTTGAAACTACCTATAGTATTTTTCCACTTTGCATTTTGCTATGTTGTCCCTGATTATCCTGTCTGACAGTTAGGATCACTGGGCCTACTCCTCGTGCCCTTGCACCACCGTGGACATTGTGATAACCCAGTCTGCTTCCACTCATTTCTAGGCATACCCTGGAGGAGAAAAGGTCAGGGGGCAACAATGAACCCCAGCAGAACATGAGCAAGTGTCAATGGATTCATTTTGTACAGGTGCCCAGAGCTCAGGGAAGAGTGTGACCCTGACTTAATGGTAGCACGAAGCCATGAGAAGATTTTCCAGAGGACAGTGACCAGGTCTAGGAAGAGAAAAGGGGTGAGGCATGTGTTTGCAAGCCCTATTTCTTGTTCTCAAAAAAGGGAGCACGGCTGGTGTGACAGGCTTGGGTTTGACCCACGTAAATGGCTTTTTGTTGTTGTTTTGTCTCTATAAACATGAACAGTTTCCGATTTCTGTCCTTCCAGGAGGGGAGGCCAGAGGAAAACGGACAATAGTTGAAAATCCAGCCTGTATGATCACAAACAGGAACAGAAGCAGACTGGGAAGGAACTGCACAGAGAATTTGCTTTCTTAAGGCAGTGCCAGTAGTAAAAATAGGTAACTGTGCAATTCCAGGTGACGAATTAAATCTGTCTCTCTGTCTTTTATCTTTTTCAGTGACAGCTCTCTCAAAGACCATGAGGGGGGGAAAAAAAAAAGGAACTCAGTCAGGTAAATAGCTGCCTTAGAGAGTCTGCAAAACTTAAATTAGTGGCAGAAAGTTGGTGTTTATATGGGAATGGCATTTTTACCACGGGCCCAAATCTTGCATGTTTATACGATGGTGGCTGCAGGGAGGAAGGAAGAGGGGAATTAGGATTCTATCTTATTGGCTCCCACCCAGCATCAACTTGTCCTGACTCAGCTGTTTTTCTAATCATGTCTAAACCAGAAAGCAGGCCCTGTGAGATGGTTTCAGGGCTGAGAATTGCGCCATGCTTCAGGCATGAAGTGTAAACCAGCACAGAGCAAAACGCAATGTTCTTGTGCCATTGGGGGGAAATTTTTGTAAATAGGAATGTGAGAGATTACTAGTACTGATTCAGAGAAGGAATAAAGATACATAATGGAGTTTTAAATTTTCTATAATTAGGAAAGTATAACAAACAATAGAACAATGTGAAAGTACAAAGCTGAGCTGGCCCCATAGTGCAGTGGTTAAGTGCTGTGTAGGAGGAGCCGGATCCTGCATGGGCTGACTGGTTTCAATCCCAGCCAAGTGGCTTGAAAAACGCAGTAGGTGTGTGCACCCACCTGCTCAGGGTTCTGCCAGGATGAAAGAATGGAGGAAAAGGGATTACAGCATGACTGAGCTCCATCAGGGGGGCGCTTTCTCTCTCTCTCTCTCTGTCTCTCTCCCTCTCTCTCACTTTCTCTCTCTCTCGTGGACACATATTCTCTCTGGCATATATAAAAAAAGAAAGAAAATGTCAACTAAGCCAATATGGAAAGAATGGGCACTTGTTTTTAGGATTTTTCAGAAAACATCATAAAAAAAACTCACTGTTTTATTAACAAAGAATCAGAAATTAAAACTTCTACTTATGCTAAAACTTTCTAACTTCATGGACAAATCATAATTCAAAAATAAAGTGAGTAAAATGGTTAAGGTATTTAGTCTAAGAAACTAAAGTACAGAAAGGAGTGACTAAGAGATACCTAAATTTCTCTCGAGACTCGGAAACCATTGTGATTTTCCACAGTATGTCATTTTCAGAACTAGTGATATTCACAATGGAGAGTCATTGAGAGAACTCGGAATGGTAACTAGGAGGTTCTTAATTCAGGAAATCTGTTATTATTATTGTCTTTTCATTGTGGCCCTCTGCTCTGCACTTTAGCATGGATCCAGATCTTAGAACAAAAGCTGAACCAAGGCAGGAACTTTCTACCTACACTAGTCAGTTGACTGATGAGACCCAAGGGGAAATTTGCCAGTGGTTTCTGGGCCAAAGCAGATTTACAACACAGTTAAAGAAGTTTAAGTATCAGAACTTCTCAATTTTGTGTTTTTTTTTTTTTCCAAATCCCTGTACCTAATTTTGTATTTTGTATTCATAAATATGCTTTCTTTTCTTAAAGAGAGATCCTTCTCACCCAAATTTCATGATCTTCAGAGTCCAACAAAACCTGCATCTTTTCCTGGCTTGGTTATGTATGTTGTACTCCTTGACAAAAGCAGGGGCTGTGCAAAGAGAAACCACGCTTGTTCCTTCTTGCCTTGGCATATCCTGAGGGGATATGATGCTTGGAGCTGTGGTAGCCATCTTGGGATCTTGTAAGGAAAGTCAAAAGAATTGTAGAAAACATGACTCTGGGATTGGATATCATTGAGTATCTGGATTAAACAACCCTGAAACTGCCTACCTCCATACTTCTGGTATGTAAGATAGTAAATCTTTATTATTTAAGCCACATCTGTTCAAACAGTCCATGACTTCCAACCAGGAGCATCTTAACTGGTACCCCTGGGTCTCCCATTTTGGCAGTTCATTCATTCATTGGGAAGACCTTCATCTCCTTGCTGGATGTGTTACCGCTGAGGTGCTTAGTTTACTTTCTACACTGAACCTTCAATGACAGGACTCAGTTCTGGAGTAGCTTCCCCACACCTGTCCTACCTAGTGGAGGGGTTCAGGGCCCTTCCCCTGGAATTGAGGTGGTACCTCGGCTGCTGTCCAGCACCTTCAGGGTGACCTGTGACTCTGCCACTCCTGACCTATACCTGTTTCCCACCAAATTACCCCAAACCACCTCTATGTTCCTACAATCTCCCATCCATAAAGCAACGTGTAACCGCAGTCACCTTCAGCTAAATATGAGAAAATAGTAAACAATGGATATACGAGGTCATACTAAGACATGAGTGACAGCTTTCTGTGAATTAGCACTCATCAATTGTGTTTACAAGTTCAAAGCATTTCCACTAGAATTTTACACAGGAAGAAAATTTAAAAGTTACCTCCTTTGGTGTGACATGGAAAGTTGGTTTTATGACATAAAGTTAGATAGGTGCATGCCCAGAGGACCCACCTGCCTCCATATGTGTTCAATGCAAAGCCCTAAGAAAGTCACTATCAATAACAATACTATGAGGTGGTGAAAATAGGTGACCTTCAGACAGTCTGATAAAGTGAAGATAAGCCTTTTGTTTCTTAGAGAAGACAGACAGCATCAGGCAACAAAATGACTCTCTTGAAGACTTTCTCTTTTTTTTTTTTTTTTCCAGAGAGCTCATGTGCTCACCAAGGAGAGAGGAAGAGAAAGAGAGGGGAAATGAGAAAGCACCCTCCTCAGGAAATAGTCACACTGTAGTTCCTTCTCCTCTACAACTCCCTCCTTCAGGGATTTTGGGCACACATGTCTGTTGTGTTTCTCCACCTATTGGGCCTTGGACTGGTACCATGCAGTCAACCATGTGGGATTCAGCCACTGTAACCACCATACCACAGGCTGTTCCAAAGACCTCTTGAATCACTTAGCAAAGGAAGTCATAGTCTGAGTATGGGTGTCCTTGGCCTCTGACCTACGCTGCTGATGTTTCCAGCTGTTTCTGTGTTGTTATCAGTTCCTTTGAGAACATACAAGAATGCTTCTATCCTCCCAAACTGCTGAAGTTTGTGTCCTGGAGTCCCCATTTTTCCATGGCCAGGTCCCTGAACTTCCATTCATTTACCCAATCAGTTTTTCTGCCCATCACCATGTACCCTCTCTTTGGTGGATTAGTTACTAGTTATAAATCTTATTCTTCATTGATCTCAAAAAAATGCTCTCATAAAATTCTCTCTTTTACCCTATAGCCTTATCTCATCACAGCTAGTCTTCAAATTCATATCTAAAATGACGCAGGGACTGGACAGTGGCACAACAGGAATGTAGCATTGTAAGACTGACTCAGTTGGGAAGGTTCCAGATGTGCATCTGGAGACCTCCCTGAACGTTTTGGGCATGAGCGTACCCATGGTACAAGGCTGGTTGAAGCTGGGAGTGGATCATGGTATGGAGACCCTGTTGGGGATGCTTGTGCGCTCCTCTCGCTCATGGAAGAAATAAGTAAATAAGAACTTAAAATAGCCCAGGTTCTCTTCAGGAACTTGTTCTAAAATTGATATAACCATGGATTTCCCAGAGAGCAGGGCTTTTCCACCGGGCCCCTGATATCATACCCTGATACAAGAGCCTGGTGAGCTCAGAGTCCAAGCAGACAAAGAGGAGGCTACTGAAGTCATTCAGGCATGAGTCAATTAAGTTTTGGACCAAAAATGCAAGATAATCTCTGCAAAGTCAAGTTGGCAAACTAGAGACCTGGATCTATGGAGTTTTGCTTGCCAAACATTTTTCTTAAAGGTGAAAGCAATGCCGAGTATCTCCTTGCTTTGACTGTCCTTAGGTACTTGCTTTGGTTCGCAGTAATTGTTCCGTTTTCAACTGAACAGGTTACATTGTAAGCCTGGGTAATTGAGTTAGGGCTCATGTGTTAAAATACAGTGAGTCTGGAGCCATGAAGTCTAAACTGTGACTCTGGGTTCACATCTGCATTTGCGTCTATAAAGTCACCTGAGCCAGCCTTTTCAGTTCTCTAAAGAGGGAAATAATGCACATTTAAGTGAATGACATCTAAGCGAAAAACATTTACTTGTAAAATCTGAATAACTATTATTTTTCTTTGGACTATTTGATAGCACATATATAATAAATAGTCAACTCTTTTATAATTACCTCAGTTATGAACCATCCTTCATCAGCCACTAATGTCAAAGGAGAAACAAATTTTCCTTTTTTGTAATGAAACCTGCTTGGAATGGCTTCTTTCTCGTAGACAGTCATATGCTCCACTGTGGTCAGTTTGTTATGTATCTGTAAAAAGCAAAACAAAACAAAAAACCCAAGAAGGATCAATGTTGTATTCTCTTTCTGAAATATGTGTAAATATCTATTGGACCTGGGGGAGGAGGGACTTCACAAGTTAAAGGAAAAAATCTGATAGATTTGACTACATAAAAATGAGAAACTTTGGTCTGTCTCTGAAAACAATATGACTTTATCTAGTAAAGTCAAACATCCATGTGCCCTGACTCAACAAGTCAGGGATATAGTGAAAAACTCTCATACATGCACACTGAGAAATATATACTGACAACTAGAGCAGCCCGAGCATCCCTAAGAGTGGAAGATATGAAGAAATCACCATGTGTTTCTGCAGTGGAATACTATAAAGCAATGAAGATGAACGAATTATAGCTACATAGACACCTGGAAGATCTCGGGAATCTCAGCTTGATGAAGAAAAATAAGAGTTGCAGAAGAATACAGGCAAGATTATTCCAACTATATATTCCTATTACAGTTCATGTAACTACAAAACTAAACAACACACATGGGAAAACGATTAGGTTGTCAGAAAGTCATGACATAATTTTCTGTGTTTTTCTTTCCAAAAAATGTGTCATGACTTTCCTAACAACCCAATCTAAAGAGGATTAAAGAAATGGTAAGTTAAAATTTAGGACAATGGTTTCCTTAGAGGAGGCAGGAAAAGTGACAGGGTCTGGGAAGGACACATGAATTTCATGAGTAATGATAATGTCCTATTCCATAAATGTTTAGTAAGCATAAGGTGTCTGCTGCAACATTCTCTTTTTCACCTTATGCATTGTCTATAATTTTTTGCATCTACTCAATAATCAATGGGCAAATTACAAAAACCTATTTATGTGAAAAATATCATACTCAAATTAAAAGGCAAACGAGAGATCGACCTGACTGATGTTAAATACAACACATATCAAAGAAAAGGGATTTGTTCTTTAACTTGAGGGCATGGAGGGCATGTCCATCTACATGTGTCTAGAAAAAGTACTAGTAACTGTTCACTATTAATGACCTTGTTAATTTCATTATAAAGTGTAAACTTTGTACATTCTTCCTATATTTAAAAGCAGCTCCGATTTTTATGGCTAAAATGAAGATGAATGAGTGGAGGGTGGCTTACTGGCTTTTAGCCAAAGCAGGCACATATTCCTGAGTATCACTGAGTATAAACTTGAGCTTATCAACTCAACTCTGAAAGATTATCCGTTTCTAGGCATTATTCCTGAGTATCACTGAGTATAAACTTGAGTTTATCAACTCAACTCTGACAGATTATTAGTTTCTAGGCTGTTTAGTGGAGGGTTTCTGATGGTCCCATGAGTGATGATTTCTCTATGAAAGAGAATTCTGAGTTCTTAAGAAAACTAGGGTGCATTTTCAGGAAGATTTTTGGATCAGTGAAAAATCTGATGACACACAACACGTCTCACAAACTGTTGTGTCCATCACACGACAAACTGTCACCCAAACACAGCCCCCACTTTTGAATAATCTACCAACTGCTTCAGCCTGCTTGCAATGCCTGAAACACCACCTTGGAAAGCAATTCTTCCAAGCTCGAAAGCTGTCGGTGCCTAAGCATTCTGGAGATGGCATATTCGTAAGTGCCAAACTGGAGACAAAGACAATCTTCCTCGCCAAGAAAGCAGAACTTCTTTTCAAGAACCTACCAATGTGTAAAATAGTCTTCCCCATTTCATGTTTAGGGAGTTCATAGGGACATTGTGTAAACAGTCAGCACCTCCACTTCCTGACTCTGAGCCTGAGAAAGAAGGAGCATCCCTTAGAGAATGGGGCAAGGTGAGCAGTGAGTTGCTGGCAAACGTGTTCTTCTGTCTCTGAATAGATCTTAGACGGGAGAGGGCAGGGCAAAGACGCAAGATCTGGCTTCTGCCTGTGTTCTGTCATTACTGATAATGGTCCAGAGTCACTTGCATTGCTGCTGTGAAGATGGCTGGAAACAGCAGGCCCAGAGCCTATTCCTGGCAGCCCTGTGGTTGGCAATGCCCACTGGCAGCAGCCTTGCCTCCCCCATGGAAGACAGTTGCTTCTCAGTTTTATCTGAGAGTGGGCAGATGCCACCAAACCTTTACTGGGAGGTGACTAGGAAACTTGGGGGCCAAACAGTTGTCTACCGATGTCACTTCTTCCTCCTCATTTTCTCAGGGTGGTTCACACAGAAGGCCAGATATAATGACCATATGGGGAGAGTGGCAGGTAGAGGTCTAATCATCTCAGGGTGCTAAGCTTCTGAAGGGCAGTGACTGTGGGGAGTGGAGCTTTGTCCCCCACATGCACTGTGGGAATTCAACCGCACCCTCTCAGGAATGTTCGCCTTTGATGGTGATCACCAAAATCACCAACACACCATAGTCTTTGCCATGGGCCCAGCGTACGTCCCTGTGCTGCCCAGCAGCCCAGGAGGGCAGCTGCAACCCCTCATCATGCACACTAAGAGAAGCAGAGGTGCCAGGGTAGGTAGCTTGTTCTGTTTCCAGTTGATGATAGAGCTGAGATTTGTGGCTCTGGAGCTAAGGAATCGGCCAACCGTACGTCAGACTGCAGCTCCCAACATTCATCCCCTTCTCTTCTCCAGTTCCCTGATGAAACGGATCAGACCGGCAGCCTCCTTCCAGAGAACAAGCATTCTCTGCACGCATCTGATATTCCCGGATTTGCCTGAGAAGTGTTGTAATTTGCTGATAATCCAATAGTCCTAGTAAGGGCTTGCTTACCTAGACTAAGTGTTGCACATCCTTTAGCTCATTTAATTTTCATAAAATTCAGAGAAGTAGATACTATCATGCCTATTTTAGAGAAGAGAAAACAGAGACAGGGAAGATGAGCAACTTGATGGCGGTCACTCGGTGAGCGAGCAGTAAACTAGGTCGTCCATCTCCGGAGTGCAAGCTCCCAACACTGTGCTCTATTTCAGTATTAAAGCTACAGAACAGGGGCCAAGCACAAAGGGCGGCAAGCGAGGTGCATTTTGTTCCCCACCCCCACCCCTACTGTGAGGTTTCTTGCCTCCGAGTATTTGCCGGGTGCTGGCCAAAGGCTCACGACAGGCCCTCGGTCCTTCACTTGCTGCAGATCATTCAGGCTGATGTACTTATTCAGCTCAATCACTTTGTCCATCCAGAAAATGTCCGTCATCCCATGATCTGAGAAAATGATGACGTTCAGGTTGTCCTGCAGGCCCCGCTCCTATGGGGTGGGCAAAGGCAGCTGTTACAGTGTCAAGAGAGGCTCCGACACTCAGAAAATCTTGTAAACAGGTAGAGCATTTTAGATTTGTTTTTAAGTTTATTTATTTCTTTAAGGAGAGAGAGAGAGAGAGAGCGAGCAATAAGGTCCACACACGATAATCTGCCCAGGCAGCCAAAGTCACAAGCATGCATACATATGTCCAGCATGCACAAGAGACCTCAGGACACGCACCCGGGACCTTCCCATGTAGCTTCAGCGTCGCAGAGCAATACATTACTGCTGTGTCACTGTGGCTGGACAAGACAGGTGCTTTTACATGACAGATTATAGGAAAAAGGATAGTTTCTCAATTCTGAATTGAATCATCTACTATTCTACCCTGATGAGCCACCATTCAAAATCACAAAAGAAGGACTTTGGGGACTGTGCAAGGACAGCCTCATCCCAGTACTTGCTGATAAAATACTGAAAGACAGCCTTTTTAGTATTTTAAGGTACATTCTCTGTGCACATCTTCTTTGGCTCTTTCGACAAACTATCATGGTGATGTGGGAACTACCTCTTATCAGCATTACAGATGTAAGAAGTAACTCGCAGAAAAGTAAACTTAACTTTTGTTAAGTCAACTGGCAGAGGTACGGCAGAGCCAAGGCCAGAACCACAGTCTAGCTCCCAGCTGGTTACAAAACTTACGATTTCTAGAGAAACCTCTAGAAACCATCTCTCCAGGTAGGCCAGGTATAGTCATTTCAATCCTTCTGGCCTGGGTGGTACGAGGGTCTCTTGGGACCTCATGAAACACCATGTGATGAAGAGACCCATCCAGGCCTATGCTGGCCTAGTCGGCTGTCAACAGTAAGAAGGAAAGAGCTGAGGGAAGTGATGATCAGAGACAGGAAGAGTGAGATGGGAGACAAGGGCAGGCTAGCTTCTTGCTTTGAGTCACCTGGATCCACTTGGTCATGTACTTCAGCACGGTGTCCACAGCCTTGAGGGCATCTCTCCTCTGAGGTGAAGAAGGGCCATAGTGGTGGCCTTCCACGTCAATGCGCTCATGGTATATGGCTGCCAGGTCAGCCCGGCCACTCCTGGAGGGAGCAAGCGAGAGGCACAGTGAGGGAGACTCCTGCCAGCTCACTCCCTTTCCATCCCCAAACCCTGCACTTGGGCCAGGCAAAGCCAATACCTCAACATGAACAAGGCACAGTTTCCAAGAGAGAAAGGAATACTGAACCAAGAACTGCCAGCCCTGAGCTGGTGACCAAATCAGAGGGTCTATCTGTGGGCCACTCCCTCTCTTGACCTAGATCAGAACATAACAATGATAATGATGGTAGCAGTTACTGTCAATAAGGTAAATTAATTTTAAGAAGTTTCAGAAACATAAGTAAATAAAAAAAATAACAATAATAAAAAAGAGAAAGGAATGAAGGTTAATTTTTCTGGTTGGACTTTATAATGGTTAATAATTAATACTTGGGCTGGTCCTGTGGCTTAGTAATAAAGGGAGCCAGATCCCACGTGTCTGACCAGGAGGCTTGAATACTAGCCCTGGTCGCTCAAAAAAACAAAACAAAATGAAACAAAAACCATGCGGAGAATGCACGTGTGCATGCCCCAAATCCCAACAAACTACAGAGATGGAGAAGGGAATGTGGCATGACCATGCTCCATGGGGACACATTTGCTCGCTTTCCTTCTCTCTCTGTCTCCCTCTGGTGACTGCATGTGTCCTTTGACAGTTCAGGGGGAAAAAAATGAATAGTCTTGGAAGAGTGCCTAATTTCTCTTGAAAACTTGTGTTTTAATCACATACACACACATGCGCACACAGATGAACTGGCATGCTTTCCTCCGACAGGGCCTCTCCAAGACCTAGAAGCTGAGGAATGAAAGGATGCACAGCCGAATCCTACGGTGCCTCGGATTGTCCCTCTGCAGAGAAGGGAACGCAACACTTCAGAGAGCTCAGGTGACTGGCCAGAGTAAAGCAGCCCCTGCTCATCCTTCAGGTCTCAGGGGAGATGTTGTCTCCTCCAGAAAGCGTGCTCTGTGCCCAAAGGCTAGATTGGCCGGCCTTCCCACATGCTCCCACTAAACTCCAGTTCCACTTCTGGGCTATGAAATCTCATGCTATGCTGCAGTTGCCCATTTATGTGGTAGTTTTTTCTTGGTTGTTTTGTTTTGATTTTTGTTTCTGTTGTTGTTTGGTTTTGGGGTTTTGTTTTGTTTTTGCCTCTTTAAATTGCGAGATTCTTCACATTGGGGGGAGACAACCTATTCTTTATCATAACTCGGCTCAAGTCTAGCATCTGGTGTGTGGTAGGAGCTCTGTACCTGTCAGCTGAGTGTACACTAGTTGTATGTGCTCAGTAGTGCAGGCTACCATGGGCCAGGCATGACGATGAGGGCTCTTACATACATCTCCCTACTTAATCCTCAAAACAACACTCAAAGTTATAAATATCTTGGACGGAGAGTTTGAGGCTCTTGGGTGAGTTCAAGAAAGTTGCCAGCATTACACAGCTTGTAAGAGATGGAGTAAGGATTCCAGTCCAGGTCCAATGACTCCAACTCCCTGAGCCAAACCACTGGCTTAAAGAACCCTACAGCCCCCACCGGTGGGCCAACCTTCTGCATTCTGCTCAGCCTAACTGAACTTTTGGAAATGGTTCTTATCTTGTAAGAATCTTACCAACCCTTAAAAAGCTGGAGGATCAGGACCAGCAGATGGCATAATGGCTAAGTCGCTGGAATCCCATGTAGTCGACCATGGTTCAAGTCCCGGACCTGGCAGCTTAAAAAAAAAAAATAACCCTCATGCCGGGTACATGTGCGTGTGTGCCTAAAATCCCAAGAGGAGATCAGAGGAGAAGGGATTGCAGCATAGCCACTGCACTGCCTCCGCCCCCCGGGGTGTGTGTGGGGGTGATTTTGTGCTTTCTTTCTGTCTTGCTCTCTGTCTCTCCGGCAAGTGTATGCACCCTATAGCAAAAAACTTCTCATAAGAAAAAGAAAGAAAGAAGAAAGCAAGCAAGCAAGCAAGCAAGCAAGCTGGATGTGAGACTAGGCAAAAGCATTATAATGACATTGAGTCCTTTTCACTTGTGGACACAACGCTCTACGTCTGTGGGCTGAATATGTCTCCACTGTCTGGAACTGCAGTGAAAAGTATCCTTGTATAAAAATAGCTACAGATTTTGCAGATGAGGAAATAGGCAGAAAGGATTTCTAAAAGTCCTCCAAGTCCTCACAGATCTCTGAGATCTCTGGAAATGCAAATATTCCACCTCCAATGTTAGATACTTTTAACTCTACCCAGCTGAGCCTTTAAATGTCCACATTCACTCCATCTCCCGAACTGAGGAGCAAGTCCCAGAGAAAGTTCTGCTTGGCATCCCTCCATTCAGGTCATACTTGGCAAGAAGGCTCACCCTCTAAGGATGCTCCGACATGCTACTGGATATCTTGAGTTGTACTTCCCAAATGGTTTTGAGGATACACTGTTTTCAAATGAAGTGAAATTGCTAGTTAAATGTTCTTTTCTCTTTTTAGAACAAAACAAACTGGCTCCTTGTTAAAAAGCCCCATTACTATCCTCCTCCACAATGCGTATTGGATTAAGTGATTATTTAGGTGTTTCTCAAAATGATATCATTATTCATACTCACTAATGTGTGAATGACTAATCCAAACGCCCCCTGAATTTATAGACAGCAGAGAACAAAAAGTCACTTTAGGGTCCCACAAGTGTGTAGGTGGTGGGGACAAGTTCGTATTAGGTAATGGCATTTTCACACATATGCTGAAACTTTTAAGGCCCATGTTCCCTTGATGGATGGAGTTGGTGGTGCTTTCTCCATGGTTATATTTGAGCCTAGTGAAATCTTCCATAACATCTATCCTTCAGAGAAGCTTCAGCAACTAGTTGCTTTCTGTACTTGCATATTTAGCATTCCAGATGTGCTGATTCAGTAAATCATCTGTGTAGTTGTCTACACTCCCAGGGTGGGACTTCTAAATGAGGGAGAATCCTGTTTAATACAGCAGTGAGTTACTACAGTAAGGAGTTTCCCCAGGGTTTACTCGTGCCTTCAAGTTCAGTGAAATACTTGTAAGTCCCTCCATTTCGGCCATCTCACCTTGTTGCAGTTGCCACATGATTTATTTCTTGAAGATTATTTACCATATTCACAAATCTCCAAGTGATCAGAAAGTCAGAATTCCAACTACCTGATGGCTTTGTGTTAGGAACTGTCAACCCCAGGTACCAGGAACACTGCCTTTGGGATGTTTGGGATTTAGGGATTGTATGTGTGCCTTTTGTGAAAGAATTCTGTGTTGACGTTGCATCGATCCCTTAGGGACCTACATCTTCAAGGGCTGGGAGCTCCTGCTTGTTTGAAGTTTAGCTGGCAAAATGTTGGCTGCCAGCTGTTTTCCACATGGATCTGGTCTCCATTATGGGTCAGCTCATTTGTAATGGATTGGTTGGGTGAGGGGAGATGGGTGGAAATGCCTACAGAGCTGCTATTGCCTATTTACTGCACCAAGGTCCAAGAACCATGGTAGAAGGATATGTGACCAACAGCCAGTCACTTGAGGGCTGCAAGGGACTCCTAGTCTTGGGATTCGGGAATACCCAAGTCTTCCTCCACCTTAGAATTCTGTCCAGATTTCTTTGCAATATAAAAAGTTCCTAATGTCACATCCATTTTCCTTACTGAAGTAGGTTGCAAAAACAGAACTGTTAGGGAGAGAGAATTAGGGAGAGGTAATTTAAAGGAATGGTTAGTTATTGACTATTAAGGAAAATGATCTAAAACTTAGAATTAAGACCCCCCCCTCCCAAATGACTGCCTGTCTTTTCAAAGCCATATAAAGGACTGTGTCATAATCTTGCTTAAGAGCCACCAGATTTAACTACTAATTAGAGTTCAGTCTCTGTAACTCAGCAGTTAACTTAGGAAACTAAGATAAGAATTATTTTAATTTCATGTAGAAAGAAGTCCCCCAAATTATAGTTTGATTATTCTTTATATTATTAAACTTACCTGCATATAGTAATAATCATATCCCATCATTCCTTATCATTCTTATTTGTTGTGTGCGTCTTTTTCTTTGTTTCATTTTTTAAAGAGAGATTTTTGCTATAGGGCACGTACACTCACTGGAGAGGTAGAGACAGACAGAAAGCGAGAAAGCACCTTCCCGGTGGGGGGCGGGTTATGGCCACAGCGTAATCCCCTCTCCTCCATTCCCCTCTCGGGATCTTGGGCTCACATGCACACTCACCCAACATGAGTTTTAAGCTACTGGGTCTGGGACTCGAACCATGGTTGACCATGTGGGAGTCCAGTGACATAACCATTACAACAGCCTCTGTCGGTCCCACACCTTTTTCTTTTTCTTTGTATGCTCTATCATTCCCCTTTTAACCAGCCTTGTTGTCTTCCTGATTCCCTCAGTAATAAATTCGGTTGTACTTTGGCAGAAATCTCATACAAAATGTAGTGAGCTCATGACACAAGTTTTAATTTTGAAAATTATCTTTTGATGGGGGCACTGGGGCACAAAGGTGAACTCACATTCTAGCTTCATTAACTGGCAGTCTCAGGTGAATGGCAAAATTTCCCTATGCCTCAATTCCCCTACTTGAAAAGCATACTCAAAAGTGTGATGTTGGATGTTAAATGAACTGAGGTTTATAAAGTGCTTGACACACAGTAACAAAGAGGGAAGGGGGAAGAAATGACTCCCATTTCTCTTTGCCTTCCAGATGCTCCAGGGTTGCTTTTCCTGAGTGTGTATGTTGAGCTTGGCCAACATTCTCCTCCCTTCTTTCTCACAGTCCAGAAAGAAGGGATCAAAGTAATTTCTTTGTGACCTTTGGAGAGAACTTTGTTATCATCTATCCATCCCTTTATTGGCACCAGTAACTTCTGAGTCTGGGGTCCTGAAGGGTTTCCTTTGGAGCTGTTTTCAACAGCCTGAAGCTTGCAGGACAACAGCCATGTGCATCCTTCCTGAGGCCCACCTGTTTTCTGGCCAGCCTTTTTGTGAGGCCACATAGTCAGTCCAGGCAGAC